GGGGTGTGGCAGGGGGACGCTTGGGGCAGAGCAGCTTGGGTGCTGCTGGGTTGGTCCAGTAGCGCTGAGGAGCGGCGGCGCTACTGGACCAACCCAGCAGCACCCCAGCTGCTCAGCCCCAGGCGTCCCCAAGTCAGCCACTGCTGAAACTGACCAGTGGTTAGGTTAGAAGGTCTAAATATAGCATGTATCCATGTTATTTAATGAAATGTAACAGCAAGTTGTCAAGGTCTCTCTCAAAATACTATCCTGAGCTAGTAGTAGTTTCTTGAACCATATTAATTTTATGAAAAATTGATGAAAACATTACTGATCAGTTTCAGCAGCGGCTGAATCTGGACACCAGTTCCGACTTACATACAGATTCAACTTAAGAACAAACCTACAGTCCCTATCTTGTACGTAACCCGGGGACTGCCTGTAATTGTAAATTAAAGTAACTGCAGACTATGAAGTTTTGAATAAAGTGTCCTATCAAGGCTGAAACACCTTTACAACTAAAAACCGTAACAATTCTCTTTCCTGGGACTTCATACTTTATGTTGGATTTAAAAACCATTGTATGTATCCCACGTACAGAGCCCTGCAAATCTGCTTTATGTCCTTGGGTATCCACAGCCACAGATACAGATGTGGATAAGCAGATCATTTTTGCAGATACAGATACAAATTTTTGTAGCTAAAACCCTGCAAATTTCTGGACATCTACTTTATATCTGTAGCTCATTTTTGTGGATTCAGATACCAATTTTGTATCCACACATGGCTCTGCCTATGTATATTATACATACATATTCCGCACCAATAGTCCATTTAGTATGCTTAATCCATGAAAGAAAAACAACGCAAATATTTTTCTTTCATATCAAAAGAACCTGATATGCTTAGCTTCAATAACAAATCTTTTTAAAAACTCAACACTCCCAACCACTAATATGGCTTATCTATACCCCCAATCTTTATTAGTTATCATAGGTAAAATGAGTAGTACCTGTTAAATGTCAATTAAATTATCATTCTAGAAATGCAATCTGCTCATGAAGGGGATTCATTGTAATAAACCACAAATAAAAATAATGTATGTATACGCTGCAACTCAGAGGATCTTATAGCAATGCAGCTACATTAGTAAAGCCTTCAGGGAGGTGCTGTAAGTATTCATATTATAGTTGGGGAAAATGAGGCACAAATGGATTAAATGACTTGTTCAAGGGCACAGCCTATAGTATTGCCAGAAACAGCATTCAGATGTTAAATCCCAGTGCCACAATGCCACAACTAAATT